TTAGTTTTTGTTCCAACTCCCCTAAAAGAAAGTATAAAATAAAGCTAAAGAACTTGATTTTTAAAAATTCCAGTGGCAGTACAAATAAACAAATTCCTATTAACAAATATCTAATAGCAAAAACACTGACTTATTTCCTTCTTCACTTCTGTATCTAAACAATAAAAGCACTTTAATGTTTAGACGTTAAAATATCGGTAAAATACATATTAAATGCCACATTCAACTAACTAATGTAATTAATACCTTTATTAGATCTCTCTTGATTAACTAAAGAATTTAAATTTTAAATAAACTCTAACTAAATTTTAACAAACAAACAACCGAAATCTTCACTTTAATAGTACGTTATTAAGTTGATTAAATAGATCAAATAATTTAATCTACTCTAATAATCTACGACCTTATTAATAAACTTTAATTATTTTTCTACAACTCAGTGTAACTATAAAATAGATATTTTTAAAGTAAAAAAGAATTTAATATTATAATATTTATGATTTTAAAAACCTGAAATTTTAAATCTACCTCGAAGAAAACAGATATATATTGAAAAGTATTTTTATTTCTTTTTAAAAATCTAAAAATGCTTTATAACTTACTTGTTTCAATATTATTACCAACGTTTAAATAGAAAAACAAACAAACATTCAAGTCGACTTATTCTTAAATCTTATAATATATATGATTTTAAAAACCTGAAACTTTAAATCTACCTCAAAGAAAACAGATATATATTGAAAAGTATCTTTATTTCTTTTTAAAAATTTAAAAATGCTTTATAACTTACTTGTTTCAATATTATTACCAACGTTTAAATAGAAAAACAAACAAACATTCAAGTCGACTTATTCTTAAATCTTATAATATATATGATTTTAAAAACCTGAAACTTTAAATCTACCTCAAAGAAAACAGATATATATTGAAAAGTATCTTTATTTCTTTTTAAAAATTTAAAAATGCTTTATAACTTACTTGTTTCAATATTATTACCAACGTTTAAATAGAAAAACAAACAAACATTCAAGTCGACTTATTCTTAAATCTTATAATATATATGATTTTAAAAACCTGAAACTTTAAATCTACCTCAAAGAAAACAGATATATACTGAAAAGTATCTTTATTTCTTTTTAAAAATTTAAAAATGCTTTTTAACTTACTTACTTCAATATTGTCATCATCTAAATAGAAAAACAAACAAACATTTAAGTCGACTCATTCTTAAATCTAGTTTAATTTCTTCAATAATAAAAAAAATTTAATATTTGAGGATTAAATTCATTTACAAAAGTTTAAAGTTCGTTTAAACCATTTTAATATTGTAAAGTTAATCTAAATTAACAAACATATAAATGCAATTTATAACATTTGTATAATATACAAATATATAACAAGTACCTACTTGATAGGTACGATTAGATGTAAAGAAAATTAATGTCTGCGAATTCCAATCTCAAAATTCCAGAACAGAAGAAAAACTGCGCACAAACAAAACTGCGCATCACTGAGCGCAGTAACTAAAGTAAAAGAGTATTTAACTTTAGCTATGCAAAGTACATCACGATTAGCATGTTTAATTAAGTACATTATGATTATCAACTTTAAAAAATGTCTAAAATTTAAACTCATTACGCAACTAATCAGTTTATTACTAATATGTGCAATAAACATATCTGTACATATAGATAATTTTAGGAGCTAACTTGTCTCAATTCTATTTTTGTGTAAATGAGTTAAATACAAACTTGTCGCATATTCTGTCGGGGCCAAATAGCCTTCTAATCTTTATTTACTGCGGTTTAACAGGAAACCAAAATTAATCTAGCCTTAAATCCATTTTATTAGCTAAAAAATCATAAAAGAGTATTACTATACTATCACATTTATACTTGTATATGTCACATTATGCTACTAAAAATGTTTTTAATTGACTTTTGAGGTTGTTAACGTGACATAATCTCATGTTTGCAAACAAAGCTAACCGGACCCGGTCATGTTAAGCCTTCTAAACTCTGACCATTTCTATATTGAATAGATGGCCTCTTTATTTCAATAATTTTTTGCAAACGGTAAAGTAGTTTGCTGCCATTTACTAAATATTCCTTTTATTTCTCGAATTTTCGGTTTCGTCAATATTTTGGTCAATAAATGGTAGCCTTGTGAGTAGAGTTTTTTTTATTAATAGTAATCAATTTTTGATGAAGACCTTTTACCAAAATAATAAAGCGTAAAACAACGATTTACATATATAAGAATTTTTTCTTTCCTCAAAAGTGTTACAATTGCAGACTAAACTAATCAACTTAATATTTGACAAACTGCAAGTCTCCCTGTGTTTTTAAAAATTCCAAAGTTTGTTTTTAACTACGACCCCCCGCCGTTTACGAAGATCACCTTAGATACGAATAACGAATTATTGAAGCATAAGATAGGGAAAACATCGAAAAAAAAATATATTAATGTCTTTATATCTTTTTAACAAACGAACAAAACTTTACAAATTTAGGAAATCAAGTTTTTTTTTTATATTGTATTAATACGTCATATGGTAAAATCTAAAATAAAAAAAAGTAACGGAATTATAACATCATATATATATATACATTTATATTATATATATATATATATTATATATATATATATATATATATATATATATATATATACATTATATATATACAGGGCCGGCGCGAGTAGGTGTCACGTGGGGGTGGGGTGCCATTACAACTTTTGCCGACTAAAAAAAAAAAAAGGTCCTCGTTTTCCAAAATTTGCCGACTGTCATTACGACATTTACCGACTGTCTAACCTATATCGAAAGGGTCGACATTTGCCGACTGACTAGTCTCAACCGGTCCAATTTGCCGACTAAGGGTCCAATTTTCCGACTAAGGGTCTAGTTTGCCGACTAAAAATCATTGATGGGAGGGGGGTGTCACACCCCCCCCCCCCCACACCCCCTATCGCGCCGGCCTTCTATTATTCATTTTTAACGATAGACACCTACGGAAAGGTAAGCAAAGCTGTCTGTCAACACAAAACATCACAACAATATATCAATATTATACATTATAACAATACATTACAACATTATAACAACAACACATAACATTAACACATATTTACACCTATATAACTAATATTTACACCCTTGACTCTAAAATCCAGTGGAAAATAACAAACCAATTTTAAAAGAATATGAAAGGCAAAACTAAAAAACCAATTTTGAGTTATCTATATTTATCCTTTTATTAAACTTTAATATACTATATTTGCTTTTATATTCAATATTAGTTATTCAATTATTTCAAATTTAAGGATCAAGGTTGCATGCTCTTTTATACACATTACACAAAATATTACCTGACATTATGTGTTTCCAGAATAATTAAAAAAAGCTAGACAACACAACCTAGCTCTAAAGCAGTAACACCGTCTGGCACAAAATGCTGCCAAGTCACACCTCTGCTTTAAGTACACCGCTTGGCTGGCAAGGTTAACAATCTTGCTTAACATATTGCCAAGTCACACCACTTTGAAAACATGGAAACAACATAATGTAAACATATATACAACTATAAACAAATATGACTTCATATAACACATATAAACACAATATATAACAATATTAAATGACAAATATATTTATCAAAAACTATGAAAAAAAATAAAAATATTAAAGTTACACATACAAAATGTGCTCACAAGCTACAAACAGTAAATTTTAGAAATGAAAATATTAAGACTATAAATTAAGAAAATAGAAAATGTAACACTATTTGTGTAGTATTTTTCACCTACCATACCTTGAATAGGATGTTTATCAATTTTGAAAAACAAACTATTAAATGCTCTAGTTCTTGAACATGCAACGTATAGTTGACCATGGGAGAAACACGGTTATTTTAGATATACCCCAACTCTATCAAATGTTTGACCTTGACTTTTATTGATTGTCATCTAATAAGCCAATTTGACAGGAAACTGACGACGTTTTAGAACAAAGGGTAAATTAGAATCTGATGGAGCCAACTGAATTCGAGGAACAAATACCCGTTTACCTTCAGAAACACCTGTCAAAACCTCTGCATCAATATAATTGTTTTGGAGAGCACAAACTTTCAATCGGGTTCCATTACATAGCTCAGCTTTAAGATCTAAATTTCTAAGTAGCATAATTACACAACCAATTTTCAATTTTAAACAATGAATAGGCATACCTGAAGGAGTTAAGCTGTTCAAAAACTCAACAGGGAAATAATTTATTTCATTAAGATTGTCAGTGTTTATTTGATCAGCACTTAAATAAGTTTTGATGTCTCCATGTAGACGTTCAAGCACTTCTTCATTGATTGACAACGAATTCACATTAGTGGGTGTTAAAATGACACGTTTAGCATAATTACCTTGTTGAGCATCTCCAAATATTTTTTCAACAATTGATTCGTTTTCTCTAATAATGCACTGTTGCAGTATTTCAATACATCCCTTAAAAGGATCTTCCTCCTTGACAGGTATTGTTCCACTATCATGTTTTAACAGCCATTCGGAAAAATCTCCTTCTCCATCACGTACTCTCATATTTTCAGTTAATGTAAACTTCTGCACCCATTGCCACTGTAAAGAACATTTTATACATGATTCTACAACTTCAGCTGGTCTCCCTCTTTTCACAACAGGCAAAATTTGCCTAAAGTCACCACCAAAAAGAATGACTTTTCTTCCAAATGGAAAGTTGTTGTTGCAAACATCTTTTAACAACCGATCGATTGCATTTAAAGCGTGTTTGGGAATCATGGATGTCTCGTCAAGCATAAACAAACTAACTTGCCTTAAAAATTGTTCCTGAATAGAGTTAGGAGTCACATTACATGTGCTGTCATCCAGTATTAGGACAGGAAGTTTAAATAAGCCGTGCAGCGTAGATCCATTTGTAAGAAGAGTTGCTGCTATGCCAGTCCAGGCAGCTGTAGCAGATTTATCACCCCTACTGCTCACTCAGCAATCAAATAATTATATGTAAAAGTTTTGCCACTACCGGCTGGTCCATCCATAAAAAACAATCTGGAATGTTGATTTTCTACACTTGGTTGCTCGTTCAATGCAGCAAGGACAGCATTACTTACATTTAATTGATTGACATTAAGAAGCGGTCTCATTCTATTAGCTTCGTCAATTGATTGCTGAACATTATCATTTAAATTTTCTAGATTAAAATCTATGAATTTATCAACAACAGGCAAATTATAATCAGATAGCGTTTTACCACTTTGATTAATAATCTTTTCGATTTGAAGAAGAGTAGCTTGTTCAGCTAATATAAATGGAACTTGGCGATGAATGAAATCCTCCATCATAAAAGCTTTATATGTATTCCAAAGATGCAAAGGGTCATCAGGTTCACAAAAGGTTAAAATAATTGAAAACAGCTGCCTGATTTGCTTAGGCATTTGCGTTAAAACTGCCTCAGAAAGAGTATTCTGCCATTCAGTGTCATCTTGCAACAAACCATTAAAAACACACGCTTCTCGAAAGGTTTCAAGAACTATTCCATTAACAGTACGCAAATCCTCCCAAGATGTTGCACCTTTTGCTTGCAAAAGTAACAATCTAAGAAAAAATAATTCTCCTGTTGGACTAACTTTATACATTCTTACTATCACCTTATTTCCACCTCTTTGTCTAACCTTCCATTTACAATGTTTATCATCAAATAGAAAGTGATATGGAATGTCAACATATGAGTAGCGATGGGCTCCTTTATTTTCAGAATTCAATTTAAACCAGAGCGTAAGGTGTGTATCACGTTGAGCAGCACGATCTAACGCCACTTGTTCTTCTCCTTCTCTAAAATACACAATCTGATTCTCAGGAAGATGAACCTTAAGACGGATAATAGTGTGTGACATATGACTTATGGGATACTCAAATATTCGCCACAGTGCCTCAGGTGCACTAACATAACGACAATCTAAGAAAGTGTTTATTTCATCATGATTAACCTGTTCATTTATCAAAACATTCGCACAATCATGCCCTTTGTATATGTATTTGTACAAATATTTAACAGCCTTTACAGACATGCAAGCTTCAACATTAATGTAGGCTTGATATTTCTTTGATAACCAAGGATTATAAGGTACCACTCAACGGTTATCTACATTGTTGCCTTTAATATTGATAACCAACCCATTATCACGACGCCTATAGCGTGGATAACCATTGTGAACAGCTACTGTGTTGGCATTAAAATCTTTAGGATAATTTTTGCTGCACACCCCATCTTTCATGGAGGGAGAGTTTGGATTCAGTATCCCACATGGACCGTAAATCTTGCAAGTTTTGATAATATCATAAAGTTCACAATTAACTATCGGATCTGGAATTTCTGCACAAATCAAATTATTGATATCCTATGATGTTTCAAGTTTATCATCATTTGCTAAATAAAGTAAAATGTGGGCACGCAGCAAACCACGCTTTTGAAACTCAATAACCTGAACATGCTCAATAACCTGAACAAGCTACAACTTTGCCTAATACACCATGTTTGAATATATCATTGAGGAGGTTATTTAACTTGAGTTTAAATACTCGAGTAACCAAATCAGGTCTATCATTCGCATTCTGACCCGGATATAAATTTTCTGTTATTTCGCGCCATTTTGGGTTGCAATCTTCTGTTATTTCGCGCCATTTTGGGTTGCATCTTCAAAGTTTTCTTTTAAAGCTCTAGGACTTCCTACATAAAATGATGGCAAAACTACTACTTGTCCTGGTCTAATATTACGATCATTGGCAATGTTGTTAATATGTTCATGTAAGGCATCATACTGCTCGCTTCTCAGCTTATTTTGATTATTTCTGATAAAAGCAAGACGCTGGCCTTCAATTTTTACATATGCATCTACAGCATATTGCTGAAATAGTTTCTTGCCATAAAATAATGAACAGAAAAATTGCCTAACAGAAAGTCTATAATTGTAGAACTGAGATAATGTAACATGATTTCTAACCAATGTGGCACGCTCAGGGTTATGCACCAATTGATTATGTCAACCAGCATCACCTCTTGGGAAAAATAGCGGATAAACCATAGGATCCAAGTTGACTGACATACTTGATACAATTTTTAAAGAATGACCTCTTGGGTAAATAACAACTTTACTGGAAGTTGGGGGAGCACCATCTTCGCCAACAAATACAACTGCAACTTCATCATGTGAAGGTAGATTATAACGACGTTTATCACCGCCTTTAAGTTAAGACATTTTTACAACAGAAGCTGAGCGACCTTCTATAGCCGCCTTACAAATTTCTTCATCTTCTACTTCAGCCATGTTTTTAAATGCAAGAGCAAATGGACTTTGTTCCATAATTATAGTTTGCAATTGAAACATTAAATCACGTAAACAAAGATCATTACCACAGTGTTGCATTCTAAAATTTAGTGCAGCAAGTGGATCATAAATATATAGTTAAGAATATATTGGTGGAATATCTTGATCTGGCCTAAGATTACCTACACGATGAAAAATCTGGCCACATATTTTAAAACATGGAAGCCCATGATTCATTGGTTGAACTACATTTGCTGTAAAAGAAGCAAAAGAATGGTAGGCATTGTAATTTCAAATATGTTTAAAAAATTAGCATTAGCATTACGATCTACATAACTCCCTGAAAACAAATCCTGTAAAGCTTGTGTAATTGGTGAAAGTGGAGGAAAAGCTACCTTACCATTATAGCAACATAGAAAATGTGTTTCATCTGGAAATTTCTTAGCACCACAGTGCTGACAAATTTGATTTATTTTTCCTAAATAATTATTTATTTAGGAGAAATGAATCATAAAATCATTAAAAAAATTACCATAAAATCGTCATTTTCTTTATCAACTTCAGAAACCATTCCAAGCCAGTAAAAATCGTTGTATTTGCAAAATAAGTATTATGACATCATAGCATTTTCAATTTTATTAATTTTGTATTTTTGTTTATTGAGGAAGTCAAATGTTAGAGCAAAATCATTATCATCGGATACCCTTTTCATTTTTATAATTGAATGAGAAGAAGGTATAAATTGATGGAAACTTCTTGTCCCAGGAATAGTGGTTGCTATTAATAGTCTATCAGCAAGTTTGATTCTTACTAGCTCCATTTCTTTGGCAGTGACGTACACAAACGTAATCCCACTGATTGACTTTGGCAGTATTCAAGCATTGCTTGAGAAGATAGTATTTGACCTGTTGTTGGACTCTGCAAGCTAGCAGTTGAAACAAGCCTTTTAACAGTGCCACCTATTCCATCACATGAAGATTTGCCATGGCTTGTTGCAAAGAAATTCCAGATGCACTGAACAGAAAATTTTTGAGCATGGTGACATAAATTGTAAAAATGTTTGCAGTTTTTATACTGCCCTGCACAGCCATCAGAAAAATAATGAATTTTTGTAATTGCGGGGAAAAGATGAGTTTTTATATGATTAATGGTTTTATGCATAACTTCATTGATAAATCCAACATCATGACTCAAATCACCTGAAATTACACAAAAAGAAGATATTTCCTATTTCACTTTTTTTGTAGTAGATGACAACTGGATGAAGAGAACATTGACTCTTGCTCCAATGGTAACTCTGTATCTCGTCTTGTACTACAAAAGTGTAATTCTCTGCAAAATCTGTCAGTACAATAGCCTCATCAATACTAATTGTTTCTTTGAGATGCTTTAGATAGCTAGATTGTGATTTTGCTATAAATGAATGAGAAGTAATTTTATCAAGTTTCTCACACAGGAGCTCTATGAATTCATTTAATGAAAGTTGTATTGTTAATAGTTCAGTTCTATCTGTCGTTGTCCACTGTTTGAAATCCACTGACCGTTCAATTTTGTCACTGTCATATTGCTCTTTTGGATCATAATTTTGTGTGAGATACTGCTGGAAATAAATTTGGGCAGCTTGTATGCCAGGACAACTATTGCATCGGTGAATCATGCAAACTTTTGATTTTCTGCTGCAGACAATCTTTTCAATGAATTTATGGTAAGATGTTTCATGGTCTACAGCACTCAACATTAATTTAACATTTTGGTGTATTGTACACACACAAACAGAATATGTACCTTTTGGACCAGCAAGGATGTACCATTTAGGTCTAAGACTGCAAAGTTTAGAAAATCCAATTTTATGGTCTAGGTACGTAATCTTATATGCCACATAGAACTCCTTTAGATTACACATAATCAATTTTTTTGACATTTATTTTTTTTTCCCAACACTTACACAGTCTTTTTTACCTGGCATTTGCCTAGAATACTCATCGATACAGTAAAAAAGCTTTACAAGTTCTATGACATCTTTACTGATTCGATGTTGTTCAACCACATTGGGGTATGCAATGACGCCTTTTTGGTCACGTAAAAGCTTTGCATTTTGAATCTTGTGTTTGGAAACCAAAAACTCTTTTGCTGCTTTTCTGATAGACCAAGATTTCGGTGTCAATGTCAAAATTTGAAGTTGCTGCCTTCTGTTAGAAACTTTAAGTTTTATTTTCATGCATTCAACAAGGAAGTCTAGATCGCCAGCTTTGGTTTCAACTTCTTTTAGAACTTCATAGTTGTTAGGTGCAACAAGATCCGATTCGATGACATCCAGAGCAGTTGCAAGTTTCTTAAAATCTGCTTCTTCAACTTGCTTTATCTTTCTCTTTCCAAGTGAAGGCTTGTTAGAGGTTTTTAGTAAATGAACTTTTAGTGGAGACACTTCAAGTTCACACAAAGTACTGTTGAGCAATAATCTTGTTGATTCCAGTATAATTTCTTTTTCCATATAATCTTCAATTAATTTTATCTTCAACTCGTTCTCTTCTGATTCTTCACTTGATGCTAATTTATGTCTGCATTGTAGACAAAGTTTTTTACCTGGCACTACGAACTTGCCTTTACTGCATAAGTACTTTGCTGAATCCAAGTTGATTTCACGAAGACTGCCTAAAAAAAGGGAAGAACTCTTTTAATATGTATAAAAATTGTAATAAAACTATTTTAAATTTGTATGGCAGTTAAAAGTGCACTTTTAGAAGTCAGCTAAAAGTAAGGCTAAATATAGCTAAAATAAATTGGCTGCAAAGAATTTCATTTTTGTAACTCACAACATTTTCACAAAATAAAAGTTGTGGTTACTATAAATACCTTTTATAACTTTATTATGAGTATTAAATGGATTGCAGCACGGTGTTAATTTAGTTGCATAACGCTTCAAATAAACATGTTTATGATGTAGACAAGTTGTTAGTTTTACATTGATTATTGAGAGCCCAGTCCTCCACATTAATATTTCTTATTCATATTTTGGAATATCTTCAAAAGGTTCGATTCAAAGCAACGATGTATATGTTGCAAAATGACATTCACTTCCTAGCTTGATTCCAATGGAGCACTGTTGGCTGTTTGCCATGACTAAGAAACTGAATTACTAAATTCTCTAATTATTTAATCTAAAATTTAAATAATTTTAAGTTTATGGTTACTGGTTTTTCAAAACTATATTAATACAACGTATCTGACATCACAAATCTATATTTATACATCACAGCAGGCATTGTAAAACTATTTTTTTAAATGACAATTCACTTCACAAAACATTATTTATATATAAAAACCTGCCTCAATAAACTCTTTTTACACATCTCAACTGAACCCATGAGATTTTTGTGATCAGTAAACTTGTGAAAACCTTACCTCTTTTTATTGTAATGTGCTTTTTTACCATTTTTTTTTAAAAAAAAAACAGTCATTTAACATTTTAAATTAGGTTATTTTTTTTTCTACTTTAAATTCAGCATCTTCAAAAATGGTCAGGTACCAATTTTCAGTCAGTTTCTTCGACTAAAACTTAAATTATTTATACCTAAACTATAGCTAAAAAATCTATGAAAGAGAATTTGAGTCCAAATAAGGAATTTTTTTTACATAAATTTCAAAATGATATATCTTTATAATGCATTAAGAAACCAAAACCATCTTTTTTATAAAGATAGCCTAGGATCACCTACTTCATTTGAAAAAAAAATTGAATCCAT